ATAAACTGGAAATTTCATCTATCAAATAAATTTTTAAAAATAAAATAAAAAATAATACTCTAGTTAAAGAACAAACAATTAATTTAAAAGTAATTAAAGATCCCAAAAGTCCAAAACAAATTAAAATAATAGATGAGAATTCAAAATATAATTATTTGTTTTAGAATATCGAAAATTCTAATTATATATATATGTTTATTACGTTTATAGAATATTTTTTATTATTTTTCTTAAAAAAAAATCATATTAAAAATATTTTATCATATATAATACATTAGTTTAATTTATTTTTTTTTTTTTTTTTTTTTTTGTATTTTATAAAAAATTAAATTTATATAAAAAAACTAATTAAAATATTAATATATATTATAATAAAAAATAAATATTTTAATTTAAATAAAATTTACCTAAAAAAACAACTAATAACATTGGAATCCATTATATTAAAGCTTCTATCTTTGTTATTTTAATCTTTTTTTTAGTTAAAATTTAATATTTTTTTTTTGTAAAAAAATAAAAAGAATTAAATAAAAATATTAAATACATTATTATTTTCCTTTGTTTTATTGAATTTAAATAGAGTATTATATACACAATATAAGCAAATTATTATAGACATAAATAATGCAAAATAAATTAATAAAACGAATATTTTTTCATTTAAAACTTATTATTTAATCTTATTTTAAATAAACTCTGGAAGCACATCTCCAATTTTTATATTCCATATTTATTATCCAAATAAAAAGGTTATAAAATGTAAGAAAATAACTATATACTAAGCCTCAGTAACACCCACATTACAAAATTAAGTTTCAAGTACATGAGTATGGTATTCATTCCAATTCGAACAGAAGAAAGCAAGCTAAAATCCTATAAAAATATAAAAAACGTATTCAGCTTAAACATTCAAAGCCTCTGCGACACCCAAAATAAAAAAACATAAAGCAAAAGAATCACATCCATGATCAAATAACTGTCCTAAAGGAGAAGAAGTACCCGTTCTTCTGGCTTATTTTCCATCTACAGCGTCTAATGTTTAGTATATAAAAATGTATATACTTGCAAATCCAAAAACCCAGGAAGGAAGTTATTTTGATAAAGTAATATCATAGAATAGCATTACTAAAAATTAAGAAACTATAAAGAAAAATCCAATCAATGTAATAGTATTAGGAGCTAATGTCTTTTTTTTATTATTAAATTTATATTTTATTTTTTTACTAGTGGTAATTATTCAGCTATCCAAAACCAAAATTTGTTCATTTTTTAATCCAAAAATGAATATTCTCCACATATATATTTATAATTTTCAAGTTATATCATTCCTTAAGGAGATATAATTGTCATTTTTTTTTTTTTGTAATATATATATATATATATGTGATGTTTATGTAAAAAAAAAATTATTATGCAAAAATAGTATAAAAAACAGGTATATGCGACATTAATATGATTATATAAAATTATATTTTTAAAATTTATAATATATTAAATTATTTTATATTTTCTTTTTTATTGTAAAAAATTAATATATAAAAATTAGTTATAATATAAATTAAATAAATATATGTATATAATTTAAATAAAAAAAAATTATTAATAAATTTTTAAAAATACTAAAACAATTAAATAATTTATATTAAAAAAATTTTATAAATTTTAATATTATTATTATGAAAGTTTGAAAGTAATATTAAAAAAAATTGATGAATAGAAATATACTATAAAAAAGAAAATTAAAAGGTTTACAAAAAAAATAATAAAAATAAATGAAAATATATATATGAAAATATATATATACATATATATATATATTATATATATATATTATTTTATTACACATTTATTTTTATATTTATAAAATTTAATTTTTATTAAAAATTTCTATTCCATTTAATTTAATTAAAGTTTTTTTATAAAATTTTTTTTTAATTTATATTTAAATGTAAAATTTTTATTTTATATTATTTTTTAATTAATATTAATTGTTTATTTTACATATCAATTTATTCCTATTTTTTTCTTCTTATTTGAATTAATTAATTCCTATAAGTTTACTGATTTTCCTTATCTATTAGCATAAAATAACATATATGGAGTTTCTGCATTTCTTTTAAATTTAATTATAAATAATTAAATAATAAATAAAAAAAGAAAGAAAGAAATATACGCAAAATTTTATAGTAATTAATTAGAATCACTAATTTCGGTTTAAACAACAAAATTATCATCAAAAAGTAACCAATTACTATTTATATTACTTTCAATATTTTTTACATATGCTAAATAATGTCCTGTATCTCCTGATGACCCCTTTTTTTTATTTTAATAAATTAAATAAAATTAATATTTACTAAATGAATAATAATGGCATATAAATCATAATAAAATAAATGATTTTTGTTATCTATTTATATATGTGGAAAAATATCTTAAATATCAATATATTGAGGTAAATCAGTAATCTCAAGCAGTTTAATTCTTTCTTAACTTTAAACATCAAATCTAAATCTTCCAATCGTAACAATTAAATAAGTAGGAAGAGATTAAACATTTATTTAGATAGTCGCTTATTACTTTGATTAACAATTTTCACAATAATATTAATTATTTTCATCAAACTATTTTTATTCAAATGTATTTTTTATAAGTTGAACTAAATTATATTAATTAGTGATTTAATTATATGCATTATTTGAAAAATTAACTAATATTTCTAAAATATTTTCCTAGTTTTATGCTTTTTATTTACATTTTAAACACGTTATTATGTTTTATAAATTTCCTATAAAATATTCTTTTAAAATTCTTTCTTATTAAGTATTTTTTAATAATGTTTCTAAAAAATCAATATACATTGTACCAAATTCACTAGCATCTTATTAATCATTAGATGATTTAAAAGGTTCAGGGAGTGAGTTTTTGAGTTCTTTCGGGTATATTTCAGTAATATTTTTTTACGTATACATTGAAAAAAATAGTTTTATAAGTATTTCTAAACTATCTTTTTATTAATTTATTAATTTTTAAGGATTAAATTATGGTTATATAGCTTTTTTTTTTTGTTATTTTTTTAATAAAAAAATAAAATAATTAATACTTAATATTAAATTTCTGAATTCTTTTGTATAATATAAACATTGTATAAAAGAATTCATATAACATGTATTTCCTAAATTATATAGACCACAAGTTTCATTTTATTGTATTATTATTGAATAATCATTTATAGGTTTATCTATCTTTAATTAATATTTTAAATAATAGTTTTCGTATTCTAATTGGTTTAAATCTGATATGGTGTATTTTCTTTTTATTTCTTTTATTGTTTCTGATAAGTCTGTATGTACATTTTATACCAGAATCTTAGTTTTATTTATTGCTTAGAGAAATTTTAAAAATTATTAAATGTTCTCTTTACTATTTTTAAATAGTATTATATTTGTTTATCTTTTTATAGTATTTATATTTTCATTTGTTAAGCTATATATTTACGCAAAACCTATTTTTTTATATTTTTTATTTTTTTTATATTTTTTACCAAATTTGCATTTAGTTAATATTTATATTGTATTATATAATGTATGTCTGTTTTAGAGTTTTTATAGAATCTTTTTAAGGATAAAATTTTAATATATATTAAAGACTAAGTCATATCTTTAGATTTTTATTAATTAATTTATTATTTGTAATATTATTTAGGATATTTCATTTGTATATCCACAATCTATCAAATTATTTAATATATTTTCAAGATCTTATTATTAAAGAAGTCCAATTATTATATTAAAACCTTTTTTTTCGAAGAAATCTTTTATATTGTTTTCTCCTAACTCATATTTAAAAAATAAATAAAAAATTATTAATTTTTTATAGTTTATTACTTTTTCAAATAAGGCAAAACAATTTTAATTTGCTCTTATTGGATCTTATGAATCCCATTTTATTTTTAAAGAATTAAAAATAAAATCAAACATTTCTTCTAAAAGATCATAATTTTTTTATGTATTTATAGAACAGCATTTATATAATATTAAATCGGTTAATTTTTCTATTTTTAATATTTCAATATGAAGAATTGATGGTAATATCATAAGCCATTTTAATAGAATCTTTTATGGTTTTATATTATATTTATATATTAAAATATACATATATATATGTAAATATAATATACATTTTACTTATATCATATAATTGGTTTGTAATATAGTTAATTAATCGGAATTAAAATATAATATTCCATCTATTATGGCATATATTTTCTCATTTAATAAATGATATTCCTTTTTATTTATAAAATTCTCAGATTTACTTGATTTATATTATATCATATCATATAATATGTTTGTAAAAAAATAAGTATTTAGTTCGTTTTTCCTATTTAAAGAACTAATTTTATCATCTAATAATTAAACTATTTCTATTTTTTTAGAATCTTTAAGTTATTTATTTACTTCAATAACATTTTTAAGTATTAATCCTATTATTTCTAGATCTTCGCAATAAAAAACAATTTTTTATATTAAATCTGATGAAAAAATGATTCCAAATTCGTCTGTATTTTTTAATAATTAGTTAATTGTATTATTTAAAATCTCAAATTTGTATTAACACTATTTATTTATTATAATTTTTATTATTTTCTATTTTATTTTTTTACTAATGAACTTATTGTTATTTAGAAAATTATTTAACCTTTTAATTTATAATATTTTGTATTTAAATATTTTTCGGTTAGTTTTTCTTGAAATTATTTATCTTCCTTTGAATTATATTATGTAAGAAATTATATTTCTTATTCTTCATAATCTTCTTGTCCAGGAGTTGTCATTTATATAAAAAAATATTATATATGCACTGATGTTTATAATTATTATTTTTAAAATAAATAAATATATTGTAATATAATATATTTTTAATATTAATTTAATTTTTATTTTTAATATTAAAAAAAACTTATAAAAACTAGAAATTTTATAAAATAAAAATTAATTATTAAAAAACTAATAAAAAACATAAATGTACTAAAATAAAACTAGCATAATCGTTCCCGGATATACTGGTCATATACCATTCCACGAAAACAACGAAGACTAATGTTAAATAAATGGATAGAAGTTCCATATTCCTGGATACGCAGGTTATATTCCTAGTATAAAAAGTGAAAATGTATACGGTAAAACCTACGGAAAGTCTACTTATATGTCTATAAATAATTAATTACATAAAGGAATTAATTTCCCTAAAGAAATGAGATACACAACTACTGTAAACCAAGATTTTTAGGATTAAAAAATAATTCTAAAAAAGGAGATTTAGTGTCAAAATGAAATCTAAGATGCTTAAGAAAAATCACATTATTTACCAAAAAAAGAGAGAAGATATATTGATCCTATTGAATATAAAGAGAAATAGATAATTCCTGTCTCTAGATGTAATTTAACTTATGAAGAAGCATATAAATAAGCTTATTTGAAAAAGCCTTAAGTCGTGTTCGTTTTGGGAGGACCGGGATGTGGAAAAGGGACTTAATGTGAAAAAATTGTGAGAGATTTTGGATTTAAGCATTTATCAGCAGGAGATTTGCTAAGGGAAGAAATGTAAAGTGGAAGTGAGCATGCTAAATTAATAGATTATTATATAAAAGAAGGGAAAATCGTACCAAAGGAAATTATTGTTTAGTTAATTAAAAATGCTATGGAAAAGCATGGATAGGAAAAGAACAAATTCCTTATAGATGGATATCCGAGAAGTTGGGAAAACGTATAAGGATGGAACTCTGTTATGGAAGATATTATTGATTTTAAGTTTATTTTATTCTTTGATTGTAGTGAGGATACTATGACTAAAAGAGTCATGAAAAGATCTTAAGGATCAGGAAGAAGTGATGATAATCTAGAATCATTAAAAAAAAGATTCAAAACATTTAGAGATGAAACTTTACCTGTTGTGGAATATTACAAAAAAACAGGACATGTTGTAGTTGTTAATGCTGAAGATAATCCGGAGGAAGTTTATAAGTAGATATAAGGGGTTTTTAAAAATATTTGAAGAAATTATTATATTATTTTTATTTGTTTTTTTATTTATGTTTATCATTTTTTTTTTTTTTTTAATAATTCCTTTTTATGTATATATAGATTTAAATATGTATAAATGATTTTATTTTTTTCATTTAATGTCTTTATTTAAAGACATAACTTTTATTTTTCCGTTAGGAAGATTTTTAGTGTGTTAGATTTTTATACATTTTGGTGATATAATTAAAAAATATTCACCATCAATTTAAAAATATGTCTTAATTGGTTATTTTTTTTTATCTTCTTCTTTTCGAAATCTCAAAACATAAGGACCTGAACCTTAACTAACTTTATATGCTTAGCCTTTGAAAAATCTTTCAGAACCTAAACTATTAATAGAATAAAAAGATAAGAATTCAATTTATCCATCTCCATGGTTTTGGTCTTTGAATTAATATGATATTTAATGATCTTATTTATCTTATAAAGCAATTTTATTTTTGCAATTTTTCCAAACATCATAAACTCCCCCTTAATAACTTGATATATTTAGAAGTAATATATTAATTGGATTTCCTTTTAAAATAATAGATTATTGATCATTATTGTTTTCTATTTAAAAAAAATATTTTTAAACTTTATTAAAAATAAATTTTAAGTAACTTAATGCATCTTCTTATGTTTATTATTTAAAATTTTAAGATTATGTAGCAAATTAACATTAATATAAATTTTTATCTTATTATAATTCAATATCTATATCATTAATCTAAAAATAAATAAATATATATATATATACATATATATATATATATAAATAAATATATATATAATTTTATTTTATTTTATTTTTTATTTTTTTATTTTATTTTAGGTTATTTTATTTTAATTTAATTTATATTATTTTTTTAGTCAAAAAAAATCCTATTATTTTTAATAAATGTATTTACTAATATTTTTTTTATATCTTTTTTGCTTATTTATGTTTTTTTTTATATAATTAAATTATATAAAATTTAAATATTTTCTTTGTATAATATTTATATTATTTACATCATAATTATCATCTTTCTACACTACATCTAATTTTTCAATAACATCATTCATTTTTAAAGTATTTAAGAACATTTTTTTAAAACCTTCCCAACAATAAACACATTTATTTGCGGCTTAACTTTATGTACGGTTTTTATCAAATCCAAGTCCTATTCTAGCATCTACACCTACACTCATATAATTGCACATTTATTTTTTTAATATTTTTACAGGTTCCATTATATTTTATTCGTTTCTTTTTTCATATACTTTTTTTTCTAGGAATTATTTACCGTTTTTTGTTACTTTTTCTATTTTTTTAAATAATCCATCCTTTTTTATTTTGTTGATATACATATAATAACATAAATATATATATTGTTTTTAATTTTTTCTATAAAAAAACATACTTCATTAGTTTCTACTTATATATCCCAAATATCAAAATTTTCTATTTTTGAATTTATCCAGTTTTACATAATTTTTTTAAATTAACACATATCTTTTCCTAATAATTATCCTTCTGACATACCTCCGCCCCAACCTAATACTCTTGCAAAATCATTTCCAGTCCCAAAAGGTATTATTCCTATTGGGCAATTACTTATATCACATTTATAGTTCACCATTTCATTTACTACCCAAATTACAGTACCATCACCTCCACATACTATTGCTCTTACATTGGTTTATTCTTAATTTATTTATTTTTATATTATTTCATATATTTTTATTTTACTTTCATCTATTTATTGCTTTAATTTAGTAAAACCAATTTAATGTTGTTCTTATTTTTTTAAATTATAAAAATATGCAATTGTATGGTATTAAGGCCCTTCTTTTTCTCTTCCTAATATAAATTACATACTTTCAGTCTTTTTTTGTTTTTTTGTTTATTTAGTTTTTTCTTTATTATTTTGTTTTTTAAAATAACTTCTAATTTTGTATATGTAGATGCCAAATTGCCTCCACTTTCAGGATTTATAAATAAAAAAAAACTATAATGATTAGGTTAAGCTATATCCTTTAAATTTATTTCTTTCAATTATACTTTTTTATATTTTTTAAATTAAATAGTACTTAAATTTTATACTTAAATTATTATTAATATTATTATTATTATTATTATTATTATATGCACTAGCATAAACGTGTTCTGTCTTATGAGGTGATTTAGAATCAAAAACTTTTTAGAAATTATATTTGAAATAATATTTTAAAATAAAGATATTTTTTATTGTTTACTCATGTTAATTATTATAGTTAGATTTGATTAATTTTTGTTTTTTTTGTTTTTTATTAAAAATTAGATATTGATTAAATAAATTAATATTTTTAAAATGTATTTATTTAAAAAAATTACAATATTATATTATTTTGAGTTTTAAAAATATAGTTTTTTATTAAAATATATATTTTTCGATACAATGATTAAAAAATAATTATTTTTTTTGATAAAAAAAATAAGGTAAATATTATTATTATTATATTGTTATTTTTTTGTTTATTTTTTAAAAAAATATTGATATAAAATTTAATAGTTTATTATAAATAATTAAATTGATATGGAGTAAAATTTATATTATAAAAATGTTAGGATTATTAAATATATTAGTAAAAGTTAAAAATATAAAATTCAAATAATTTTATTTTAGAGAAAAATAAAGCTCATTATTTTTATTTAATAAAAATATATAACAAATTATTTAAATAAATTTTAATTAAATTATATGTTATTTATCATTGTTAATTTATAAATTGCATATAATGGAAATTTTTACATTATAGGATTTTTATGATAATAATTAATATAATATAATTAAGTACAATTAAAAAGGAATAATTAAATATATTATTTATTTAACAATTTAAACTGTTTTCATTAATAAATTTACAAAGAAAAATAGAATTCTAAGTCATAATTAAACATATGTTTATTTTTTATACGAATTTGATTTAATTTAAAAATAAATAAAATTTATAATTTATATAACTTTATATAAAGATAATATATCTTTTATATTTATAATTTAAATTTTAATTTAAAAATATAAATAAAAAATAACCATTTTTATTTAAATGTAAAATTATAAATAAATTTCAAAAAATTCAAAAAATATATTTTATATCTAAAAAAAATAGATTTAATAAATATAAAAATAAAAAGAAATAAAAACATAAATATATATAATATTTATTTTAAATTTTATTTCTTTATTTTATATATAAAATATCATATTAATCACATCTTTTTTTTTCTTTTATTAAAAAATAAATAAATATATATATATAAACATATATATTTATTTATTACAAACTCAAAGATTACTTGCAACATTTGCAGGAAGTACAGTTTTAGCCAATTTTACATATTCTGTTTTAGCATCATTTTAATTCATTCCTTTTTTAGCATTCCAAGCTTCCCATTTGGCTTTATCTTTCAATGCAAGCATTCCAGGTTTATCTGTATTGCAATCACCTACAGTTCCTTATTTATAAAAAGCATAAAATTACAATAAATTATCGTCAGAAACTTTTCCATTTCCTGCAATAAAATTCTTAATTTCTTCAGCGGCTAATTCAAAGTTTTCAGCGGACATTTTATATATTTTTTTTATTTGTTTTATTTTATATTTTTAATAAATTATATATTGCTTTTTATTTTTATTTTTTTTATATTGTATATATTTTATTTTATGGTATAATAACAAATTTCTATCGTCATTTAGTTTTATTTAATTTTTTTTTTTCCACGTCGTTTAATTTTTGAATAGAAGATTTTTATTTAATGCACAAAAATAAAAGTATTATTCTTAAACTAAATGAAGTTTTTATTTAAAATAAACTAATAATAAGTTTCTAATTCGAAAATGATAAAAAAAACTATAACAAATTATTTTAATTATTATTAAAAATAAAGATATTTGAAAAAAATACATATATATTATTATAAAATAATGTAAATTTATATATAAAATAAATAAAAAATTTATATTAGTTAATTTTTCATAAGTTAGTTATAAAAAATATTTTTCTTAAATAAAAAATTAAATCATTTAAATAAAAAAATTATATAAAATTTCAATTAAATAAACTAAAAAAATAAATAAATAAAAAAACATACACACACATATATTTATCTGAAAAATATTTCATTTTTTTTTTTTTTAAAAAAAAAAAAAAATCAATCTATAACATCATTATCATGGATATATTCTTCCGAAGGATCTTTTTCAGGCGGATTAGCAACAATTACATTAGCTAATTTAACGTCTTCCATCTCAATAAATGTCGGGAAATTCAAAAACTCATTATTAAAATCTTTTTATAATAAAGCATCTTTAATAGAAATACAAGTACCTGGTTTTCCCGGTACATTCCCCCTAATATAAACCAAAGAATTCTCTACATCAATTTTATAAACTTATAAATTATGAATATTAACCTTTTTGAAACCCATTCTTCCTGGCATTTTTTTCTATTTAAAAACCCTTCCCGGATCTTACCTTTATCCAGTAGAACCGGGAACTCTATGTGATAAAGAATTACCATGTGTCGCATCTTACATTTTAAAATTCCATCTTTTAACGCATCCTTGGAAACCTTTTCCTACTGAAATTCCACTTACGTCTACTAATTAGCCGGGAGTGAAATGACGGGCACTTAACATAAAGCCAGGGGGAAGAAGACAGTCTTTTGACACTTTAAATTCGGTTAAGTCTTTTTTAGAAGGAATATTGCTTTTCATAAAATGACCGATTTAAGGCTTTTTTATTCGCTTAGGATTTAATTCACCAATACCTTTTTTTTTTTTTTTTTTTTTTTTTTTTTAATTTTTTTTTTTTTACCTAATTGTAAGGCATTATATCCTTCTTTTTCTTCAGTTTTTACTTAAACAACTTAACATCTATCTAGTTATATGACTGTTAAAGGGACTAAAGTTCCCCATTTGTCCCATATGGAGGTCATTCCTAGTTTATAGCCAAGAACTCCGGTTCTTTTGGAGGTTTTGGTTGGTGATATTGGCTTAAGTTAGCTTTTGAATTTCTAATTGACTAGATTTTCGGGATTGAAGTAAACTACGTCGGCTTTTCTAAAAAGACCAGGGGGTTATTTTTAAGGAATGGAATTTGGATTAGGGTAGATAATTTTTTTTTCCTCAATTTTTTAAAATTCTTGGATTTGTTCGGGAGTTTTTTTGGGTTAAACTAATCTTTTACCTTGAAAACGGAAATTATAATCAGAAAGAAGAGAAAAAAGCCTATCGTCAGTAAGTTATTAGTCATAATCTGCAATTTGGGTTTTTATATGTTTTTCTGGTTTAAATTAGTCGGTTTATAAAGCTTTTTCTTTGGCTTTTTTTTATTCGATTTCATTTTCGGATTATGAGAGTTTTGCGGCTTTTTCATCTGATATTGCATATCCGACTTTTCTTTGTTTTGGTTTGCTGGATTTCTTAGGCTTTGACCATTTAGAAAAATTAAATGAAATATATGTGGGAAGGGTATTTGTAAATTTGGTGTATTTTTATAATAATTTTATCATGATTTTATACTTTTGTTTTATTAAATTTGATTTTTTTTATTTTTAGATAAAAGATATATATACATATATATATAGAGATTTTAATGAAATGTTTTTTTTTTTAAAAAAAAAAAATTAAATAAATAAAAAAAAATAAAAAAATTTTATTATAAAAAAATAATAAAATTAAAAAATATTAAATGTAAAAAATAAGAAAAAATAATTTTCTAATTAATATATGAATAAAAAATATAATCAAAGTATTATATAAATATTAAATTTGAATTGTATTTTATATATATATATATAGCAATAAATTATTTAAATATATATTTTATTTTGATATTTTAATATATATAGATCATTAAAATATATTATAAATAATCAGAAATTAATTATTTTATTAAATTATTTTTAAATTAAAGTTAACATAAATATTTTTTTATATTTAAATTTAATTTATTTTTAATTAAAATATAATTAATTTTTTTGATTTATATAAAAGACTTTAATAATAAATAAATAAATAAATAGTTTAATTTTTAATTATATTAAGAAATGTATATATTATATATATCTAATAAACAATTATAAATAAAAAATGTATATAATACTAAACTAAAATAAGGATAAAAGTTTAAATAATAATATACTTACAAATAATAATATATATACAAAAGAAAATAATATAATAAATTAAAAAATAACTATTTTCTAAAAAAAAATATATTAATAAAGTTGAATTTATTTAATTCAAAAAAATAAAAAAAAAAATAATATAATAAAATAAGTTTATTTTTTAATTCAAAAAATGAAACGTTAAGCCCTCCAAAAATAACAACAACAATCCTAAATTTATTCTTAGAAAAACAACATTTAATAAAACTAACAACATTATTATCAAAACGAAGAATAAGAATATGAAGATGAATAAAATTATGATCCAAATTATGAAGAAGGTGAAGAAGAATATATATATGATAATTAAGAAATGGGTTAATTTGCAGATGAGGAAGAATATATGGAATATTTAAGGATGTAATAATAAAATTAATAATAATAAATTATGATTATCGAAGATAATGATTTTGATCCTAATTATGAGCCAAATGAATAAGGTAAAAAAATAATAATTTATTAACTATACATATATATATATATATATATATATATATATATATATATATATAAAGAAATCGAAGAATATGCGAAATATTTAGGAATGGATGCCGTTGAAGATCGAGAATTTTTTTATATTGCAAAAGAAGGACTTAAATAACCATTACCGGAACCTTGGAAACATGCATAAATAGGAGGACATGATGAAATATATTTTTTTAATATGGAAACTGAAGAATTTTAGGATGAACATCCATTAGATGAAATTTATAGGAAAAAATTTATTGAATGTAAAAGGGAAAAAATAAATAAAAGCTAAATTAAGTCGAAAAAAAGATCGAAATTGTAAAATTTAATTTAGGAATATGGAAATGATGATAGTAATGTTGATAATAATAATAAATAAAAAGTTTAAAAATAAGATTTTGATGATATTGAAGAAGTTTAACTAGATGATATGGTTATGGACAAAAATAATAAAAATAGTTTGAAAAATAAGGATAGCAATGGGAAATTATAAACTTTAAATTAAGAAGAAGAAAGCTAAAATAGTTATAAGGAAAAATAAAATAAAATTTAAAATTAAATAAATAAAGAGGAAAAAAATAAAAGGAATTGGTAAAAAAACAAAAAGAAGAAGAAAAAAAATAAAAGGAAACGAAAAAAAATAAAAAGAATTGGAAAAAAAATAAAAAGAAGACGAAAAAAAATAAAAAGAAGACGAGAAAAAATAAATGGAATTGGAAAAAAAATAAAAGGAAGACGAAAAAAAATAAAAAGAATTGGAAAAAAAATAAAAAGAAGACGAAAAAAAATAAAAAGAAGACGAGAAAAAATAAATGGAATTGGAAAAAAAATAAAAGGAAGACGAAAAAAAATAAAAAGAATTGGAAAAAAAATAAAAAGAAGACGAAAAAAAATAAAAAGAAGACGAAAAAAAATAAAAAGAAATCGAGAATCAATTATTGAAAAACTAAAGAATAGAAATTGAAAAAAATGAAGAATTAATAGAATAATTAAATTAAAAAAACAAAAAATAAAATCGTTTATAAAAACTAAATAAATTATCAGAAAAAATAGCTGAAGAAATAGAATAAAATTCTGAAAAAAATCCTTAAACAATATAAAAAGACAAAAGTATTGAATTTTTAACTGAAAATAAAGAAACAATATAAACGACAAATTTTAAATAAGAAATATTAAATATAAGATAAGAAAATTAAGATTCTGATGAAGAATAAGAATAAGAAGAAGAATTAACCTATTTAGAATTAAAAGAGATTTAATTTTATTAATATGAGAAATAGAAATAACTAGAGGAAAAAAAGGAAAAAAATAAAAAAATTCTAAGGTAGTTTGAATTAAAATAAAGACAAATTATTAATAATAATATTGATATTTTTTACCAAAAATTATATTAAGCTTAATAAAAAATCGAGAAATTATAATAAATTAAATAGGAAGAATTAAAAAAAAACTAGTAGAGGAAATTTAAGGGTAAAAGTTTATAAATAATTAAGATTTGGAAGAAAAAATAGAAAAGGAAATTATAAAAATTTAAAATACTAAAAAAGGTAGAACCGAGAGAGAAATTTAATAAATAGAGTTTTCTTACTAATAGAAATTTTAATAGAGAGTGATTTTATTTGAAAAAATGAAAAACAATTTAAAAAATATTTCTATTAATAAGAAATAGAGTATTTAAGAAAATCTTTAAAGTTTATATTAAAACTTTCTTAAAAGATATTAATAATAGTTAGTTTAACATTTTAATATTTATACTAAAAATTAACTGAAAGATTTGGAAATATAATTCGAAAATTTAAAAAAAATATCTTTTGGAATTAGAAAATGAATATTAAAGAGCTAAAAAAGTAAATTTGCTAATTTTTTTTTATATATATAAATATATATATATATATATATATATATATTTTTATTATTTTTACCTTAAAA